AGGAAAAGGAAGGAAAAGGAAGGAAAAGGAAGGAAAAGGAAGGAAAATGAAGGAAGGAAGGAAGGAAGGTGCAGTGGTCCGGCCCATGAAGGCTTCTCCATCGCGTGGGTTCGACGGGTGATGAGTGCCGATCCCAGATGCGACCATTAAAGTCTCCTGATCAACGAGGAGCTTTACTCTGAAACAGGAGGTCAAGTAGACTTCATGTGGCCTTTTGACACATATAGAGCTTTTGGCCAATGATTCCTGAGCCATTATACAACTATATGCTGTATATTTCTTTCTTCAGATCAGGGTCTTTGACACCCCGCATCTAGCAGACCTAGCCCAATTTTTCTCGTTGCTGGCATCTTCCCAAAGCACCGGGGCATTTCCATCCTACTTTTGCGGTTAAAGTCCCTCACTCCACTTGGCCGCAGTCAGCTGTGCCAGTGCCATGGGATCTGATGCTGAGAAGCTCATCATTCATGTGTCTCTACCCAGTGGTCGCTCCGTTGCTTTGTCAGCACCAGCCAGCTCCAGTGTCCTTGAGTTCGAGACTGCTACGAAGCAGTCCTTGAAACTGCAGTTCTTGGAGCTGATCCACACAGATGGAAGCAAGCTCAGTACAGCAGGATCCTTGCAGGATGCTGGGCTTGTTGATGGGGACACATTGACGGCCATAGTTCAAATGCCACAAATAGCAGCATCAAATGCAGCGTTTGCATTGTGCTGCTGTGGCAGCGTGGTTGCTTGGGGTGAGCCCAAATATGGTGCTGACAGCAGCGCTGTCCAAGATCAACTGAGAAACGTGCAGCAGATTCAAGCTTCTGCGCGTGCCTTCACTGCGCTTTTGGCAGACGGGTCCGTGGTGACTTGGGGCCATCCAGGAGAGGGTGGTGACAGCAGTGCTGTCCAAGAGCAGCTGAAAGATGTGCAACGTGTTCAAGCTTCTTCCCGTGCCTTCGCTGCGATTTTAGCAGATGGGTCTGTGGTGACTTGGGGCCATCCAGAAGAGGGTGGTGACAGCAGCGCTGTGCAAGATCAACTGAGGAATGTGCAGCAAGTTCAGGCATCTGCATTCGCTGGTGCCTTCGCTGCCATTCTGGTTGGTGGGTCTGTCGTGGCCTGGGGCGATCCTGATTGTGGTGGTGACAGCAGTGTTGTCCAAGATCAGCTGAGAAATGTGCAGCAAATTCAAGCATCTCTTTGACTTCACTGACTCATCACTTCATTTGGACCACTCTAGAGAGTCTCTGTTCATGACGTTGTGGAATTCTTCCTATGGTTATGACGTAGACTGGCCCTTTGGGCCCCCCCCGGGGCGACCTCGTTGTACGTTGCCATGGCGAACAGCTGCTGCAGCTGGCTGTCTTTCTCCTGGCTGGAACTGGCGCGGTGCTCCCCTCACTGGTCTACGTGGGGCTGGCGGTCGCAGCGGCTCTAGTTCTCATCACTGCACTTGCGAGTTGGCGGATTCGGTGGGGTTTGGTTCAGTGCTTCCATGTCCTCTTTTGGGGCACTATCCGTCTTCTCCTTTTGGGCTCTCTGAGGTGCCTCTTTGTCAGTTTTAAGCTGTTTGGGTTCCTCCGGAAAGTTCGAGGGAAGTTTAGAGGTTTCTTACGACAAAGTGAGCGGAATCGCCAGGGCCCCCGGCCCGCTCGTTGGGTAGGCCGCAGACGTGTTTGCGGTCCTCGCTACGGGTGGTCGAGTCGTTTTCGTCTTCGCAGATCTGGCCTTGGTGCATCCCCTTTTCCTTTGCAAAGATTCGGACAGCGGATTTTTGACAAACTTCAGTTTGTTCAAAGGCAGCAGTGGTGCCTGGGTTACCAGTTGAGAGGCGGTGCGGGTGGTGCTGCTGCCACGCGCCGCAAACGTAAGGAGGTCTTGTTTTTGGAGGAGCTTTCCGCCCTCATTCAAAAGTTTTCCCCCCAGCAACCTGAAACTCCGTGTGGGTATGATGTCACGGAGGAGGCTAAAACATCTTCACTGTGTGGCAAAGTGCGACACGTTCTTGACCAAAAACTTCGGTTCCAAGAGCTGCTTGCTGCCTTGGGAACGGTTTTGAATGAAGCGGCTTCGTCTAGCTTCGCTGACGGACATGGTGAGGGTCTGAAACAATCTTTTTATACTGGCCAGGTCGGTCCTCGCAAGTCTAATTCCTCTGTCTCACCCGAACATGTCCCTTTGGACTCCACTAATGAGATTGGGAAAGGAAAAGGTGTTAGGAGGGTCACCACTCAACCCCCCAGAACCTCTGAACATAAAGAAGGGAAAGGTACTAGTGTTTTGGGCTCTAAGAAGACTTCTTTCTCGCAAAACGTTGGATAGACCCCAGAATGCTGCGTTTCTGTGGGCTCCTCAGGAGTTTGTTCCTTCTGGCACTCTGCTGAAGCAGTTAGAGCAAGGGGAAGAACCTACTGGGAAAGTTTGTTTCACTAAGGCTTCTGACGCTAAACTTCTTCAAAGATTAGCTTCTGAACATGAGACTAAGGGTCAAGTTACTCTTGTTCTCACTGACTCGGTTGAAAAGGAAGCGCTCCCTGACAAGGCTGTTGAGAGGCAGTACGACTTTGACAAGCGAGGGTTAAAGAAAGCTTTTGTTGCCCCTCTTAACCCGAAGACCACTTTTGAACCTAAGCAGTCCAAGGTGCTTGTTCATAAACTCTCGACTCCCGTTCGTTCGCCGGCCGAAACGCGCGCTTTACGGGTCACCTTTGTCCGTATCTTCGAAGAAGATCGGGAATGGCAGCGGTTAGTCAGACAGCCTCATAAGGGTCTGGCAGAAGTCCTCCAGGGACGAAGTGCTTGGTCCTACGGGTGGAAAGTTGTTTCTGGTGATGGGGAACCTTCCGCCATCGTTGGATTTCTGAAAGTGAAAGAAGATCTTGCCACTGAGCTTCTGCAACTCAGTGGAACGAATGGGTTGTTTTTTGAAGCCTTGTCGGGTGCTTTGGGTGACAGACCACCTGTCACTTGGGTGCGTAAGGCTAAAAATGAGGGCATTCTTGCTTATTTTGAGCGATCACGTGGACAGGCGGTTGATGCGAAGGTGCCTTTGACCTTTCGCAGAGGAGGAGGCAGTTGTTTCGGTCTCCGTGGTAAAGTTGACTCCCAGGCTTTTGCTTCCTTTGTTGTGACTGGCTTCCCCAGTTTCTTTTGCCCGCAGGATGTGAAAGATTTCCTGGAAGGCAATGGGTGGGTGCTTAAGGACAATATCTCGCCTCCTCGAACAAAAAAGCAGGGTTGGCTCATTGGAGCCAGTCACCCCACGCTTGACCGGGAGGCTGTGCATGTTTATGAGGTCCCTGACGGAGATGAGCAAACTCTTTCCATCACCATCAAGCGGTGGCGTAGGACCCCTAAAGATGGCGGTGATCGACCTTTGAAGCAATCCTCTGGTTGGGTTCCTTCTCACGTTGCGAAAACTAACCCTGACCCTGTGAATATCCCTGTCCCTGAGGATATGGAAGATGTTGGTTCCCCCAAAGCTTTGACTCCACCCCAAAACGAAACTGCTAAGATGGAGACGGATTCTTCGACTTTTGGGGAAGGTGAGAAGAGAAGTTCTGCTACGGTGGGGTCCTCTCCCCCCCAAAAAGAAGCCAAAAAGTTCTGGCCACGACGACAATCTTTTACCTTTCGAGGATTTCGAAATTCTTGACTTCGGGGGCTGTGGGGATTGCGGGTGGCGGGCATTAGCCGCTGCGCAAGCCCAAATTAATGGGAAGCCGGTCGATAAAATCGTTGGCAAAGCCGTTGCTCTTGGTAAGACTCTTCGAGGTAAGGTCATCGACTTCATGTTGAACAAGTCAGTGGATTGGCAAAGTACTTGGCAACCGGACCCTCTTGCGACGGTTGAGAAGGAAGCTGGAACGGTTCCTTCGTCGCTTGATGAATATAAGCTTGCTTTGTCTCGGCCCAAACGTTGGCATGATGGCACGACGTTGGCTTTGGCTGCTTCGTATCTCCATGTTGTTCTCTGCATTTGGGAAATTAGAGGTAAGAAATGGAGAAGGACTGCTGTCTTGAACGAGGGGGGTGGAAAACAAATCATTCCCTTGTTGCTTCACAAGGAGCATTTTTACACTTTGGCGCGCCCCAAAGGAGGATTCCCTCCAGAGTGGGGAGTGGTCACTGGTCAAGAAAGAGGATGGACTGGACGCGCCGCCGGCAAGCGTTCCTCTGTTTCCTCTGATTGGGTCAAGCCTGTCTCTGATACTGATGCGGCTTCTAGTTGGGTTGCTCCGGCA